TAAAGAAATTGTGAAACAAAAAGCCATATTTATGGTACATATTTGCAATTCTTCATATGAAAATGTTTAACAACAGCAAAATGTAGCATACCTAATTTATAAGCTCCACAAGTGGCAAGTCTTTGTGAGTATGTTGTTACAGTTAAAATTTTTCAAAGTTTTATAAACCCAAGCCTCTTAACACAAAATGCAATTCAAACTTGTAAAACATCTGAATATAGATAAATGTAATCTCTAAAAAACCAACCACAGTAAAAAGTAAAACATATAATGGCTCAGAACAAAACACACCCAAAATTCAACAACAAAAAAAAAAAAAGAACCTTTAGTACAATATAAAGTTCCAATCCATTTCAAATTTCCATGGAAATTGCAACACAATAAAGAGTTCTTACTCAATAACAACACTTATGATAAAAGCCAAAGCCAAAGCCAAATTATTGTATTATTATAAGAGTCTCATTGATATAAATCAACAGCTCATTAATTCTTCGGCAATAGACTTTGTGAAAACAGAACAATCAACCATGCCTGGGGTAACAATAACCTGTCATTGAGGAATGAAAACATCAACATCTTAGTGAGATAATACAGTGTTCTCAGAAGAAAGATGGCATAAATCTGCATTGGACCCTAATTCTGAATTCTTTTGGAAGTTAATATATTGGGCAAATGCATTCATATTAAAGTCTTCATCAGTGGCAAATGCATTCCTATACTTTCAATTTGTTTTAACTTCATATCCAAAAATAGAATTAAAATATTTAATATCCATCTAAATTAAAAAAAAATATGCGATTCAAAGGAATTAAACATTATAACTTTAAATTAATATTTTATTTCTCACTTCTTGAGACTACGGTTTCATTATCACTTGCACAAATTTTACTGCAAATTTGTACTGTAAAACTCCTCTCTGAAACTCTTCTCGCTCATATGACTACTTTGTGAGGGTAACTTCCCCTGTTTTTTCTCTGTCTTTGGAACTTCATGTTAATCCTATTATGCTACATGTTCATCGAACCTCACAGCCACAAGATGATATGATTGTTTTATAAGTGATGCAATGGCAAAAACATCCACATATTCCAACTGAAGAACAAAAAAAGGTTTAAAGAAAAGGTTACTGACTTGTTACAGAGAAGCAGAGGAGTCGGAGACGAAGTTTCCTTCTGTAGCAGCTAGCTGTAGACCAGCCTGGGTATCGGCTGCAATATGAATTGGACGGCCTCTGAGTCTGAAACAAATATACGTGGTTGTCGTTATGACAAGAGCAGAAATGGCAAGCAGAAGCAAAGCCAAAGTTGCCCCTTTCCCCTTAAACCTGAAGGTTTCTGAGGTTGTAACACTCAAAGTCGATGACGATGAGCTGCTGCTTGCCTCCATTTTTTTTTTTTTAGCTCAAGCACCTACGGTACAATCTCTGCAAACAAACGATCCAAGTGAAACCAAAGTGATTAGCAATGAAACGATGCAGACTGCTTAATATGATGTTGTGGAAGAAGGGTCTCAGGAATACGAGTCAAGAGGCTCGGAACTTGCTAAGGTCAGAGTAACTAATAAGTGTCAGACCGTTTACGAAACCCAAACCAAGAGGTTCGGAACTTGCTAACGTCTGAAGTGTCGTCACAACCATTACAGGGTATAAGTCAACTAACCAAGGTTATCGAAACTAACTAAGGTTGCGCAATAACTAGAAAATAGGCTTAAGTTCACGGCCGTCACACAAACACCCCGAAAGCAAATCTAAAACCTAACGGCGTTCACTTCAAAGCAAATCTAAAACCTAACGGCGTTCACCTCAAAGCAAATAAGCATTACAAAAGAAAAACCTAAAGGACAAAAAAAGATAAGGAGAAAGGAAGAATCAACTTTCAATTTTGACAAACAATGAACATATAAGAAATGTGAACACAAAGCCATATCCATCGTATACATTTTTCACTGTAGAATCATTTTAATCGTCCATTAGCTTAGTTTTGGATTTTATAGTGAAAATTCAAATACTGCTCTTTGAACAAAAAATCATGCATCAATCCCTTAAACAAATTATATTCGAAAAATAAGAACTGCAATTATTATATATATTTGAACCTTACTCTTTTACTGTTAAAGCAAGAATCATGTATCAAATATTATTACTTACGGATATTGAAATTTGATTTTAAAAAGGTCAATTAAAAGTTAAAAATTTTATATATTTTTATTTGAGTTATATATATAAATATATATATATATATATATTAGTAACATAAAACATATATATAATAATATGCTAAAAAAATAGTAAATATATAAAACTTTAAATTTTATTAATTTCAAATAAAAGTATAAGAAAATAAAATATTTTTATAATTTAAATTTGATTTATATTTATTTATCGATAAAAATTTTGTTAATTTTTTTATTAAAAATATTTATTTAATAAATATATCAAATTTTAAATATTTGATTTATATAATAAATTATTTAATTATTTAATCTTAATTTGTAATATTAATTTTTATTTATTTATTTTTAATAAAAAATTTCATAAATTTTGTATAAAATTTCAGATTGGTCTTTTTATCGTCGTCGTGCGGATCCATCATAAAAAAAAAAAAAAAAGAAGCAAAAGTATTCGTCATATAGGCGCTTTACGAGTCAAAGAATATTGAAAAAAACAAAGAACAAAAAGCCAAAAAAAATGGATGAAAATTGAAAGACACGTGAACATAAAGCCATGTCTGTACAGAAAAGATTTATTTACAGATTAGGGAGAGTTTATGAAATTTTTTATTAAAAATTATTTATTATTTAAATTTAATAAGTACTTATTAAACAGTTAAAATTATACAAAATTTTTTAATAAAACATTTTATCTAAAAAATATATTAAATCTTATTAATTTTTAAAAATTTGCACATTTAATAAATGTACTAATATTATTTAATTGATTAGTTTTGATTTTTTATTTTAATTTTTATAATTAAATGATTTTTAATAAAAAATTTTAGAACTCCACTTAAAATTTTCTGTGTCCATAATACACGTTTTTCACTATAGAATCAGTTCCACTTAAATTTTTCTCTATCCATATCAGTTTCCTCTTCCATTAGCTTAGTTTTTTATTTTACAGTGAAAATTCAAATATTTCTCTTTGAATAAAAAGTTACGTGTTAGAATAAATTATATTTGAATAATAAAAATACAGTTATTGATATATATATTTTTTATAAGAAAAATTTGAGATAAATAAATTGTTCAATCTCTTATATTAAAATAAGATATATCGTATCTAACAACTTAAAATAAGTAGTTATAGATCGTGCATTTGAGATGATTTTAATAAATGATTATCGACAAGATTCAAATATAAAATTTTTTCATCAAAAAATACGAGATTTAATTAATTAAACTAACCACTTATTGATATATATTTGAACTTTACTTAGAAAAAAAAAAAATCATGTATTAACTACGTTCGCACTACCTTTACTTTATATAAAGCTATAGCCTAAGGGCTCACCGAGGAGAACTAAGAAGACTTGCTTCCCTCCTAGTCAATTATCCAAACCATTATAAGGCTCTGTCGGAGGAATCCACTCAGTGCAGCAATGCGGAGAAATTTATATAAAGTTTTTTTTTGGATAAAATTTATGAAAATTTTTAAATAATTGATTTAATAAAAAGTTTAGTAAAAAATTTAAATTAATATATTGATAAAGTTTAATATAAAAATTAATAATATATAAAAAAATTAAAAAAATTATTTATAATTTAAATTTGATCGATATTTATCTAACAATAAAATTTTTATTAAAAATATTTATTTAAAAATATATATTAAAATTTATTAAATTTTTTTTAAATTTTACATAATTCTTGTAACGAAACTATTTAATTTTTAATTGAAAATTTTATAAATTATACTTAAAAAATTTTATCTAAATCTTTCTTCATAGATTAGAAATAAGAGCTTTGAGAAATATCTAACATATTCAAAGTTATAAGGAAAAAAAACGTCATTGGTTACCGCCAAGTTGTAGAAAGAAACATAGAGACACATGTTATGGTCAAGCAACTTAAAGAACCCTAACTGATACACGGAAGAATGTGAGGCATTATGGAACAGGAAGGGGGCGTCGATTTGGGAGCATGGTTGGTTAGAGGCAGCCCCTAGAGGAGTAGCCATTAGACCATTTCATTAAAAGTGACCCAAATGTAAAGCAATCGCAAAGCAATGATAAGAATACATGGTGCTCAAGCTGGGTGAGCCCAATTGCAAAGCAAACTAAAGCCAGATAATGTTAGGTCTCTTTTGTTTTGGGTTGCATAGCCCAAGTACAGAGCAAACTTAAGCTCAAATAGCCCAAATTAGAAGGTAAGAAAGACAGTACGATGGATCTTGATAATTCGTACGGAAGAAAATAGTTTTTAAATAACGTATCATATTATAAAATTTTAAAATTTAATTTAAATTCAAATCGATTTTGTTTTAAAATTTATTCCATCCATATAAAATTTTATTAATTCAATTTAATTTACCAATTTTTAAAAGATTAATTTTAAATTTTTTATATTTTATTTTAATATATTTAAATAAATTTATACGTAAAATAATTATTTTTAATTTATAAAATTTTAAAAAATTTATAAATTAATAAAAATATATAATTTGAATTCATTTTTTTATTTTTAATAATTTAAAATTTAATATGTAAAGTTAATATTTAAATTTAATAAAAAAATAAATTCAAACTGAATTAAATTAAATATTATAATTTAAAAATATTTTTTATTAATCCGTATATTCATATCAATATCAAACATATATATAAATTATAAAATTATTATATTATAATATTAATTTGTGTTAATATATTAGATATAAAATATAAAATATTTATTTTTTAAAAAATTATATATGATTTTTATCAATTTTAAATTGTTCCTCTTTACTATTTTTTCATTTATATTTTTTTGGGTTTGAAATTATCATTTCTACACGTGCACCTAAAGCAGCTAATCCAATCCTCTCTAAACTCTTAAAATTTCCGTACTGAGAAATTCCAACTTAACACCGGTGGCGGTTGCCATTGACAGTTTTCCAAATTACCATACTACCCTCGTCAGCTACTTAATATTTCAAAAACACTCAGCCAACAAAAGTTCAACAAGGGCAATTAGGGTAATTGAAAAACAGAAAACCGAAGAAGAGAGAAGAAAATCCGTGTTGGTCACTATTTTCCTCTCTCGTCTCTTCCATTAGAAAATGATTCCTTCTCCTTCGTTTCTCAATAATTGACCCCTTCAAAAGGACACAGCTCACTCCAACCGGAGCCGCACGGTGGCTGTGAAGAAACTAGGATCCAATCTCAATCGGAGCTCCAAAATCCTCCTTTTATCAGGTCCGTTTCTGATTAGTTTGATTTTCATTTTCTTTTTTTCGTTGCTTATTATCATTCCTAATAATTTTTTCTTTAATTGCAGATTATGGGGCATAAAACGTGGTTAATTTTGGCGTTTTTTACATGTTTAATTTCATCTTCTTGCGGTAGAGGTACTGATCAAATTCAATTCTTTTAATTTCTCATTTTTTAAACTAGGTTTTCGTATTATAACTATTATAGTGAGTTATTCCTAATTTATGTAATTACATGTTAAAATCAGCTCAAGAACTTCTAATTCTACTTTTTAATTGGTTTTATTAAAGTTTATGTTTGATTTTTGGAGCTTTTGAGGTTTTAAAATTTTGGTTTAATAAAAAATTTGCTTTTGTTTACTGTAGAATTGCAGGTCAAGCACAAGGATAACCTCACCGTCTACAATCATACTCTTGCCACTATTTTAGTAGAATATGCTTCTGCGGTAAAGTTGTAGTTATTGTTATTTTTAATGAATTTGAGCTTAAAATTTTGAATAATTTTCAAGGAAATTTTAATTTCATGCCGTGGTTGGTGATGTGTCAAGTTAATGTATTCTTCATATATGTATCCGTGAGCCATAGTGCCAATGAAGTGAGATAGAAGTCCTGGGATTGGTGTAAATGATCCTATCTTGTTTGTTCTAGAATAGACAAGTCAATGAATTCGATGCTGTTGCCTAAGAATTTGTATGAGAGTTGGTGTTTCCTTCATTATTCCCTTGTTGTTGGTGTGGTCACTCAGGCAAAATTTGTCCCTGTAGGTGTACATATCGGATTTGACGGAACTTTTTACTTGGACATGTGCAAGATGTGATGGTTTAACCAAGGTACCTGGTTTTCTATTGGTTTTTCTTTAATCTTCAATGTTCAAATTGATTTCCACTTGAATCAGTTGTCCTGATGCTCCTTTCTATGGAAACAGGGATTTGAAGTTATTGAGCTTATCGTTGATATCCAGAACTGTTTACAGGTGCATTTCTCATTGCGTCCTTGGATATTTATTGGAATAATGATCCATTTAGGTGTTATACTCTAGAATACTTTTGTTTGTAACTGACATGAAAATGATTATCAATTGATAGGCATTTGTTGGTGTGGCAAAGGATCTTAATGCCATTGTTATTGCCTTTAGAGGAACGCAAGAACACAGGTAGTGATATTATTTACCTCTGTAACTTCTTTTCAGCAATGTTTTCAAAAGCAGTTGTTCATGGCATGAAAACATAGAAATCATAAACAAGATTTCAAGTATGCAGAACTCAAAGATTTTTTTCCCAAATGTGATTAGTTTGGTTGTTTTCTGTTTGATTAAATTATCTGTTTGTTCTCAGCATACAGAATTGGGTTGAAGATTTATTCTGGAAACAACTTGATTTAAATTACCCTGGCATGCCTGATGCAATGGTATGCATAACAAATTTCTCCCAATTTGTAAATTTATGTTGGAGTAATATTTATTAATCTTTAGTCTTTTTTCACTGTTTCAGGTGCACCATGGATTTTATACTGCTTACCACAACACAACAATACAACCTGGAATTCTATATGCTGTTAAAAAGGCAAAAGAATTTTATGGAGATCTTGACATCATAGTGACAGGCCATTCAATGGGAGGGGCTATGGCTTCCTTTTGTGCACTTGATCTGACGGTAATCATGAGTCATTCTTGATACAGCTGGAAATGTGTTATTATTTCTGTTCTTTTCATAATATTGTACATGTGAAACCTTTTTGATTGGTACATGAGTTTGAATTTTGTGCCATGGTTTTTCCAAATCTTTCGAGTTAATTTTCTTTGGTTAAATTCTGGAAGATTGCCTGGTTGTTGTGTCAGAGTTGTAATGAGAAAATAAATCTTCTATTCCTAGGTTAATCATGAAGCCAAGAATGTTCAAGTTATGACTTTTGGACAACCACGTATTGGGAATGCTGCGTTTGCTTCTTATTATGGAAACCTTGTGCCAAACACAATCAGAGTTACGAAGGACCATGATATTGTGCCTCATCTGCCACCATACTATTCTTATTTCCCTCAAAAGACATACCATCACTTTCCTAGAGAGGTAAGTATCTGTGTTTGTTAAAATAAATTCTCTATGATTTATTTTTAAGCAAGCAACTTAAATTTAGCAAATTAAGCCTGAGAGTTAGCTAATTGGATTATTATCAGTACTTGAATATTGAGAAAGTTTATGTTATGTAACTTTTGATGGAAAAACTTTTTCTACTGTTAAGAAACCCTGGATTGTTGCCAATATACACCATCTGTTGTCTTGACTCTCAAGTAACACTAACAGTGAATGTCAATAAGTGAAATGTTGTTGCATGTTCCTAATGGTTCTTGAAAGAGACTTATTCTTTGTTTCTCCATTCCCATTACCAAACAGGATTACCTTTTTACTCATTTGTTCATTATTTAAATTTTATATTAATCTAATATTTGTCAATCCCCTTTCTTGAAGGTCCTAGTTTACCTTTTAGTGTCTCATGGTGCTATTGGTTATGGCATAATATGAATGTAAATATAAACAAGGTCTTTGTTTTTAAGCCTGTAAATAATTTAACATATTTAAACATGCTCCATTGTTTGACACTTTATAATGCATAGAGTTTCTGTATCAGTAGCAGGGTGGATGGAGGACTGATGTTTGTTGTATGTAAGACTGCAGCCTGATTAGACAAAGAATGGCATGGATAAGTTCGTTAATCTATATTTCTTATTTGTAGGTGTGGCTGTATAACCTCGGACTGGGAAGTCTGGTTTATATAGTTGAGAAGGCCTGTGATGGTTCCGGTGAAGATCCAACCTGTAGTAGGTAAGCCTATTTCTATGTGTAGATTTTCGTTGTGATGGAAATTTATCGGTAGTTTAAAATTCATCTATTACTTAAGCAAACTTTGCCAATTTATTAAATGGCTGAAATATTAAATTAATTGATTCATAACTGCAGTTTTATTAAAATTTATGAAAATGTAAGATGAATATATCTTTTATTACGTGTTGCTTTCCCTCATTTTCTTGGTGAAGAAAGGAAAATGATGGCATGAATATGTTACACTTTGCTATATGAGAAATGAGCATGACTACCTTAGAATTATTACTTTGGAGATCTGTTACAAACTCTTCTACTTTCGCATTTTATTGCAGGTCAGTGACAGGGAACAGCATTTTTGACCACTTGAATTATTATGGTGTTGATTTAAAGTGCGAACAATGGAGATCATGCAGAATCGTGATGGATCCTGGTGTTGCGAAGTATGGCAAAACGGATCTCAAAGGAAATTTCATTTTGTCCAGAGATCCAGCCAAACATGTTCTGAAAATGAATACTCGGTCAAATGAAGGGGAAGTTACATCTAATGCATAATTTATCAGTCTGTGATCTCTCCTGGAAGATGGCTGGTAGCACAGTTCGTTGATTTCCACTTCAGATAACTACGTTTCCATTCTTCCATTGAAACCATGTAAATAGCCATTGAAAATGAACGTTATCAATGTGGGTTTGGGTTAGGAATGTATTTGTGTAAATAACTATCAAAATGTGTACATTGCTTTTACGTTTATGATTATATTGAATTTAATGCCAGCTAAAAAAGTTGTTTCCTACATACAACTCTGTTTTAAATCTAGTTTTCTGAGGTTAAAAAATGGCTGAAATAATGATTAGTGCATCTTACAAACAGAATTTGTTAAGAGCCTATTTGCTAGCGCAGTGGGAAGCTCCCACCCTGTGGGTAGCACTTGACCTCACGGTCGGAGGGGGCTCCTACCGGGTAGGTAGCACAGGACCTTGTGGTCGGACTTCAGAGGGGGGCTACGACCAGCGCTACCAAACTTAGCACTGGACCTCGCGGTCGGAGGGCTCCGACTGGAGTTACCAAACTCTGTTACATTTCGCTTCTGTTAACCTCGTGGCCTTGAATAGGGTAAATTTTTGCATGAATAATATACATAAATAAAAAACTTAGCTAGCAATAATTCACCTCACAAATGACCATGACCTTTAAAACAATACCAATCACAAGCATGATTTATATATCCTTTTGACCTGAAATGGAAACCGATCAAATGAGTACAATTTTATTCCATCTTAGCATTAGTCGTGCAATAAACTTACCCCATACGACCAAAATTTGGAGATCATAGCTCAAAGGAATTTTAGTTTCAAATCCCGAATTTCTTCAAATTCTAAATAGTACTATTGGGAAGTTGTTGAAATTTATGTAACGGCAATGTCCACATTACAAGAAAAAGTCATCTGGAAGATCAATGATCATTATAATTTTCATAGATTAAAGCATATACATGTTCCCTGAACAGGTTTGAGGAGGAGTATGATATTACTACATGAAACTGAAGTGTAGAAACAGTCTGATGAACACAGATAAAACTGCTTAAAATGTTTCACTTTGTCTTCAAATCCTCGGCTGCTGCTGAAACAGCTTATTTTCTTTCCTGCACCACAGTAAAAACTGCTTCTAATTTTCTTTTCTGGAGATAAGGGAAGCGATTGCAGGAGCAGGGATTTGAATCCAGACTTGCTGGATGCCACCCTTGAAAGAGTTGTTATATGAACCAAGTCAAGTCTCGGTTCCAAAATTGTAATAATTTAATTGGGAACCAAAACTGGTTTTCATAATTCATACCTTATTCTTAACTGGGGTTGGGACTTTAGCTTCAGTAGTTTCTGCTGTTTCTGTTTCTTTTACCAAGTTCTCTTCCTTCACGGTTTCAGTTTCTCCTGAACATGTATCAAGGAATCAAATTCAATTTGTGAATGAACAAGAATATATTACTGTCATTGAAGCATGCATCATTGCCCTTTGCAGTTTCTTCTTTTTTGTCTTCAGCCAGTTTTTGATACTTCACAGTTTATTCTTTTGCATCTTCTGCCAGTTTCTTATCCTCTAGAGTATCTTCTTTAGTTTCTTCTTTTGTCTCTTCAATCAATGTTTTATTTTCATTTTTAGTTTCTATTTTTGTCTCTTGAGCAATTTCATTTTCCACCACTGTTTCTTCTTTTGTCTCTTGAGCCAGTTTTTTATTCTCCAAAGCATCTGCAACTTTCACATTCTCATTGGACAAGCTCTCTTTCTTCAATTCTGTACTTTCAGCTATGTCCTTCATAATCAGCCACAGCCCTGGAATTGTCTCCACCAGAGTCCTGATTGACATTTTTGCCTTCCTCTTTCACCAATATTGAGCTTGTCTTGCCATCATTTGTGCATGTTTCTTCAATGGTTTCTGAGGTTTTCCCCATCTTGGATCTTGCTCTTGAAGTCTTCCGGCTGATGGTGTTTCCCGTCGTGACGTGTTTGGATTCACCACAGCCCGTTTCTATAGACTCTAAGTGCAGAAATGAGGATTTCCCTGCCCCGCTTTTAATCTGGAGACAGACTTCGAAATGGGAAAAATCTTATTCTGGTTTCTGTTGGAGACTTAGCTTGCATGGGTGTCATTTGGTGCCTACAGCTTTTTTGCTCTAATAACAAACTTTTTTTCTTGTTGATCTTCTGAGGCTGAGCTTTAGCCTATTTGGCAAATCATCAATAGAATCAAAGTTCATTTTTAGAATTGCAAAATGGCTGTCCAGCAAGGTTATATGTTGGCATGAAATGGGGGATGTTAGATGGATTTAAACCATATGGAAACACGTATTCCCAGTATATGACCAGTTGAGGATATCAACAGCTTAACCAATTAACCAAATTCAATAAGTTTTTATTTTAGGAAGATTGTTTGATTATACTACTTGTTTTACATGTAAATTTCAAACGGTTAGGGATATCATAAAACAATATATTAAATGGTTTGAAATAAATCGGTAATTTTAAACACAATATAATGATATATTATGAAAATAATATGAAAAATTTTTTAACAAAAACCCTTATCATTTCTTTCAGCATCGTTTATCCTAGAATCTAAGCTAATTGTTGTCCTTCATCTTTGAAATCAGATATTGCTACCTTAGTTGCCAGTCTACTAAACATGGCCTTAACAAGGAGTGTAAATTTGGAAGATCTAAACAAGAAAGAAACTCTATTATAGGCAACGAAGATTGGACATGACGAATCGAAGCTCTGTTGGCACCTTGTATCAACAGAGCCACAAATATTTTTGACACTTCAGGAATTGTTGCCACAAAGTGAAGGCTTCATTCATGATCACTAGCTTCACACTCCACTGCTAGAAGGCTTGAAAAGCAGCATTTAGTTGTAACCAAAATTTGTCAATTACTCTTTCGAGATTCCATTCATTTGGCTTAATCAACTGATATTTGGGTATAAACATCAGACAAATCGGGGGTTGAACTTGGATTTTATCTTTTTATATTGAAAGATGAGGATTTGGCAACTCTTGGAATATGAAAAAGTATTGTGTTAATCATTAAATCAAATATTTGAGTGTTAATTCGTTTTATTATAATGTAACTTATTAAATTTCGATCTCATGAATACGACGAAAATAAGTTTAAAGAAAATTCATATAACACTAATGAATAAAATAACAAATCCTATTTTAATTTTTCTACATAAAGCATTAACTCATATATTCAATTTCTAGTTGCAAAACTCTTATGGAGGGTGAGAGCAGCGAGGGCTACCAAAGCCATGAAAACTAGGGAACCAACTAAAGAGAGCACAATGGAAATCGCAACTTGATGACAGAATCTTTCGAAAACATTGCAAACTTTGTTCCATTGAACGTGGGAGTTCCCTTTGTAGCCCATGAGACCAATGGCCATGGCAGCTCCATTGGCAGAAAATAACAACGCCACCATCAATAGGTCGAGGACAATGATGATTTGGCTCAATTCTCTCTTTCCATATCGGGTTCCCAACAAAATGAGTATAGAAATTGCAGCATACAAACTTGCTATTATATTTGACACCATGGAGTACCTAGCAAGAAATTAAACAAATTATTTTTTTGAGACCAAAAAATCGAACTTAACTCTTTAAACTGAAAAAAAAAATCATCAATTGTTAAATCAAATGCTTGTGAATGCAAATTAAAAACAACTTTTATTTAATATTAATCTTATAATTGTCTCTAGTAATCTTCTATAAAAAGATAATACATAAAGTAATGCCTAATTAAGCAGGTTTATAAACAAAAAGGCCATGCATGTTCCTAACTTCTTAATTAATAGGCATAAGGGTAAAAAAAATTACTCAAATAAAAATTTAATAATCATTTAAGTACATGATATTTTATTGCAATTAACTTAATCTTAAATCCTCTATTTCAAATTAGTTGAACTCTTAGACGTTTATTTTTATTAAATTAAACTTTTATATATCTATTTTTACTCAATTAAATCTTTAATTGGACAATGATAATCACTTAATTTTTGATATTTTATTTTGGGTTCTTAATTACAACATGAATATTTCCTGAGTTGCCTTCCTGGGCAGGGCAGATAGGGGGCTTTTCAGCACCAACCAACTAAAAATATTAATTTCGAACTGATCAGCTGCCATCTTTAGGGTTAAACCGACCATTTAGCTCCATATTCAGATTAATTCATAGAAATTGTGGAACCTTAATTACTTAAAAAGAGGGACAAAAACCACCAACAAAATTGCATAAACATTTTAATACACGAAGATAACATTTGATATCATTTTTAATATTATCATGGTGATTTAATTATTATGATGATAAAATCACTAAAGTGATTTGATCATTAATGATCTTAAATTATTATGTTTAGTACAATATGATAAATTATTAGTGTTTTTAAATACTGTATTTGATATTATATAAAAAAATCGTATAATACAAAATGTACAAAATAATTTTATAAAGTAAAATATTTGATACTTATTTAATCAATAATTTATGAAAAATTAAATGTTATTTTATAAAAAATTATAAAGTATAAATCAATTTTGATAAAAATAATTTTTAAAATAATTATTAAATAAATTTATTATATTTTTTCTAATCAATATAAATTTTTAAAAATAAGTGATTAAAAAATCAATTTTTTTAAAAATTTTTAGTGATTAGCTTCTTAAGGTAATGTTACTTATTTTTTTTTGTAAGACTAAATTAGATAAAAAATAATATTAAAAATTACTTTTTCATAATAACAAAAAATTTTCATCCATTAAATTCGAAATTAGAAAATTATATTACTGTCTTGAAAATGATTTGATTCCTAACCACTCTTATAATATTAAAAATTACTTTTTCATAATTATAAAACTTTTACTATTTCTGATTTCTATAAAAATATCATTAAAAGAACATAAGATAAGAGGTTGATTTTATTATATAAGTAAAATTTTGAAGGTGAAAGAAACTTTTTTTTTTCCTTATCGCAAGTGCGTCACGTAAACGATTTATGAGTCATTTAAATGGTCCGTAAAAATTGGATTCTGGTTACACTATCACAATTTGAACCTTAAATGATAGCAAGTTGTAACTTTGCTAGACTGCCGTTTTGCACCGGAATCATATGGTTTCAGTACCAAAACGGCACCCCAGGTAGCACTTCCAAACCATCTCTAAATTAAGCCTTGGAATGGAAAATGAATGAAACTTACACAAAGGCAGACAGGTAATGCCACTTAGCGTGGACTGCAACATTGATAAGAGGCGAGGTTGGAGTGATCTGAATTGGAACAACCTTAGTCTGCTTACCCAACCCTAGAACTATGGCAGCTGCAAGTGTTAGCAGCAGTGCCAAAACCCTCAGAATCAACTCACATATACTCACTGTTCTTGACCCCTTGCTCCCTCTTTCATCAACAGTACTGACCCTATTATCGCTTTGGCTCTCCATTTTTGCAAGAATTTTACCTGTTTTCTCTGGAAAGAAAGAAAGAAAAAGAGACTTTATGATACTTATGAGAAGAGAGAATTGGTTTAAATAAACAGAAAAAAAAAAGTAGGTGAGAAATGAGCCAACAATTTCTTTGCACTGTCCTAAAGGTAAGGGAAACTACAAACCTTGACATTTATTGCAAGGCGGTGGACAAATGTGGACGCAGCAGATGAGACCAAACTTGATCTTGGAAAGTAATTGTAGTGAATTTAGGTTCTGTTCCATTAATATTTGTTTTTGTTTTTGTATTTTTTTTGCTTGTCTAAGGTCTATTTAAAATTTGATTGGAAGATTTTTATTTTATCAAAAAATATGTTTCGTTGGTGCTAAGCTCAAATTAGAGGATAAGAATATGAAATTATGAATACCGATCAATAAGGAGTATAGGTTCGAATTGTTTTTTATATTTATATTTTGACGTTCAAATCAATAAAATAAATGAAAAAAAAAGTTTAAAAATAAAAATGAGAATTAAGAGAAGAATTGGTCTTTCTACCTAGAGGAAGTGAAACGGTATGCGAGATTCGTGACTTATCAAATTGGTATAGATAAGATATGTTCGAATCAATCTGTCATGTTCGTTTGAATCAAATGATCAAAATAATACCAATTTAATTTTGAGTTACTTATAATAAAAGATAATAATACATTTATAACCCAAAAATACCCTAACCCGTTTTATAATTGAATCATTACAAAATTAATCGCAAAATACACTTTTGAGAACTTGTAAATGAACTTTCAAATAAGCTAAATTGTAAGATGTGTGTGCCAGGTTTTGGATTCACAATTGGCTTGGTTCATTCTTTTTCGGTTTGTCAGCTTGTGGTGTAAATTGTAATGTTAAGTCAAAATTTTCTTCTAAAAGGTGTGAATGTGATAATATCATTGCAATTAATATTTGAGGCTCCAAAATCCAAAATTACTGCAAAATTTAATTCCTGTTTGTTGTTGTTGTTTAAACAATTGAAAGATGTTTATAAAAAAAAAATTCCAGAAATTCAATTTTTTAAGCTAATTACAAAATATATATGTTGTAATTATAAACTCAATAACATTTTTTTTTATTCTTCATCATTTTGATCGCTTACGAACCGCATGTAATGTTGTCTACACAATTGAAGATTCATAACTTTTTCTTTAATAGGTATAATATTGTTAAAATGTGTTTTAAAACTTAGGAAATTCAAAAACATGATTAATGTAGCTTTTTATTGACATTGATGATGATGATGAGAAGGTTTTGAAATCTTTACGTTAAAAAGTTTTTTTTTTTTTTTTAATTTTTCATTCGACATTCTTATTGTAAATATAACAGTGGATTTAATTTAATTTACGTTAAATAAAAATTTTCATTTTATGTTGTCCATTTAGTTTCATTATTGATTTTATTAAATATAGAATTATACCATATAAATGTTAAGATTTTTTGACCAAGATATGTTAAGAGTTGTTTGATAATTAAAATTAAAATTTTATTTATACATAGATATAATCTTACATTAAAGAAGTTATCAACAGCAAAAAATATACATTTGTGTGCCTAAAATTGGATTTTTAAAGCATTAAATGTAAGAAAATATAGTTAGGGAATCATTAAATTTTAGCACTATTATTACCTAACATGCATAAGCTATATATTTTTGTTTCATTCTTTTTGTTGGGGGTTACATAAATTTTCTAGGTTTTGATATTTGAGGGAGATAGAGTGAGGATAAAGCCTCAAATGAGAGGACAAGCCTCTCAACCATCCTCTTTTTGTTTAATTTGTTTTGGCATCATTCAAAAATGGAGTTTCTCTTTTTGAACAAAAAAAAAAAAAAAGGATTTCCCCATGCTATTGCTTTTCTAGCTAGGCTCATGGCCTTTGATTAGTAACCTCTATTTTAACATAAAATGTTTAAGAATTAGGTAAAAAAAGAAATGATAAAACAAAAAAACTTAAATGCTAAGAGCTTCTAGAAAGAAAGTAGAGCCATTTCTTTGTCAGTTTCTAATTGGGTTTAATTAGTTTAATAGTTATTCACATATGGCTACCCTTTATAGAGGAGGAAGTAATTAGGTTTTGACTATGAACAATGAAAATTAAGAAAGGATAAGGTTTTTGTCATAGCACTTTCAAAGAAGATAATTTGATTGCAATTTTCAAGCTTTTTCTTGCTCCACAGTCATCCAAATTTTAACACCTATATTTTTAAAAAATAACAAAATTAATCTCTTGATTATTATCAATAAAAAACCAATGACTTTTAAATTTTAATTAACAATGGGACTTGGCCAGTTGGTCTTGTCAGACTACCTCCAGTGGTTTAGATGCAATTGCTTGAGAAAATTATATGATTTTTATTCAACTGATTAAGACCAATTAATAAGGTTTGACATAAAGAAAGATAATTAATAAGCTCTCTCTTTCGTTTTAATGTGAAAATTTTATATAACAATTTTCTTGATTAATATCCAATGTGCTTGAAAAATTACAGGGTTTGATGAATTAGTCGATTCATGAATAGTTCTATATTTATTGTCTCTTTCGTATTTAAGAGTTAGAGATTTCAAGTTCAAGTTTTACCGTATGTGAATTTAATCAAAATTTATATTAGATTTGTTTAATTATGTGCTGGTTCACTGATTGATTTGTTTGTATGATTTAATTCAATGATTTTTTTATATAAAAATAATACTTTGATTATAATTATAATTTCTTTTATATGGTTATCTCGTAAAAAAAAAATAAATGGAACTTTGATCAGGAAACATTAAGACTAATGAAACAAACCGTAATTTAACATGTATGTATAAGAGCTGTATATTATTTTCATATTTGATCTCATTTAATTAGCTCTTCAAAGAATCATAATTTAATATCAGTGGGGAAAAGATTCTGCACAAAATTTCCAACATTGTCTTACGAAAATTCTAAGCATATGTTTGCAACAGCAATGTTGTAGGATTCTAAAGACTATGCATCCCAGTTGCCAAAATGAACGGGAAAATTTCATTCAGAACTTCAATCAACAACAATGTTTATCTTCCCGTCCTCCAATGGCTTCAATGTTTTGGTGACAGTATATTTCCTGAAATGACATAAATTGAATTCCATCCCCTGGGAAAGAAACCAGATGAAGAATTTGACGGAAAAACAGACCACCCATGAAAGGATCTCAGATAAGTATAGGCAAGTCAAATTGGGGTATGGACAGAATAAAAAACAAAATTATGTTTGTCTTTTTTGCCTACAGTTATGTTGTCAGTTGGCAGAATGCTGGACTTTAGTTCCAATGATCTGGGATCAAATCTTGACATTCTCAAATACAAAAAATCCATATATTTAGTGATTTATTTTTTTGCATTTTTGCTGGGGACAATCATACTCATATTGTAAATGTAAAGTCTTCAGAATTCATAAGGAATTTAGAAACTATAAAACATTGTCAGTATAAGCCAGAAAGTCTATGATAGTATGGATAGAACTAAAGGATCAAGCTGCACACTGCCAGGCACAATTCAGAGAACAGAAACAAGTCTTTGTATTCATAACATTGGTAGTTGTCAAGCTAAAATCTTTACAGGAGAATGTGGGTTGCAACTCATACAGCAGTCTTGATCACTTTCGAGTTAGGAAATTTCATACCTGAAATCCGACCGTATGATAAAACTGGTTTACTCAATGGAATGGCTCGCAAAAATTTATAAACTAATGTAAAACAATAGCCTTCAGAAGATGGATTGTTCTCCTAATTCCTGACCAGCCATCCCCTCCCTTATCACTTTTGCATAGAATTCTTCCAATGTGTCCTTACCATAACTTGGTGTTTTCTCAGCACTATACTCTCCGGTCTCCGGATCCAAAATCAACATACTCTCAGCAGCATAATACCTTCCGATTTTCCCAAACTCGGCTGCATCTTCCATCCAAGGGAATATCTTAACTAGGAAATCAAGAATCCCAATGGCAAAATCCATTATCCCAATTGGCACTTTCAAGAACTTTGGTTCCTTCCCCAAAAGTTTAAACAAAATCTCTCCTTGCTCCAATGGTGTCAAAGCCTTCCCCGGACCACCAACAGGCAGTACCTGGTTGATCTTATCCTGACTCAAAACACAATCTGCAATAAACGAAGCCAAATCCTGTTCACTAATCGGCTTACAAGCACATAACTTGCCATCACCAAACATCACATAAGGCTTTCCATCTTTCACTAACTCAACTTGACCCCCCAAGCTCTTGAAAAATGCAGTTGGCCTCACAATACTATATGTAAATCCATCATCCTCTTCGGCTTCTTTCATCAACTCAGCCTCAAATTTCAGCTTTGCTTGCTGAAATTCAAGCAGGGGTTTTTGCACACAAATAGCAGAAAGCAATACAAAATGTGAAGCCCCAAATTTCTTACCAGCAACAAGACTGTTCTTTGTTGCCTCGTAATCAATTTTCCATGAATCCTTAACACCACCAGTTCGGCTAGCAAGACAAGAGACAACTACATCAACAGGAAATCCTAAATTTTGCAGAGATTTCTCCATAGTATGTAAATTTGTCACATCAGAGAAACATACATTAGCTCCATTTAAATCATTCAAAGTATCTTCCTTGCTATTTTTACCTCTAATCCCACTCCTCCCTCTAGCAACAGCTATAACATTAAACCCTCTATTAACCAACTCTTTTACCACAAATTTCCCAATATACCCGGTTGAACCCACAACCAGAACATTAATGTCTTTTGAGTTTTTGCTTCTAAATGAAGCAGAAACAGCTGTATCAACAGGCTTTGTTGCTAAAGCTCTAACCAGTTCACATCTTTCTCTATTAAAATTAAAGGGTCTTGATGGTGAAGTAAAAGGAGTTGACTTTACCTGGATTTGTTTGATGAACTGAGAAGTGAATTGTGTTTTGTAGCTTTTAGACTCTGGTGACTGAAGAGTGAAGGCGTTCAAAGAAAAACAAAGTGACATTGTTTCTCCTTTCTTCTTCTATGGTTCAAAAGAAGTGAAATTTGGGAAACTTGTCTTTGTCCAACAAAAGTGCAGGATGAGCAAGACTGAGCTTTTTAGTTGCTCCATCACAAGAGAAAGCTAAAAATCTAATGAAGATAGGTGGTGGATGACACAGTTGATGATAGCACAGCCAAAAAAATGAATTGTCCATTTTGCCCCATATTGAAAAATATCAATTTCGTCCCCTAAACTTTTCAATCTTTCATTGATCTACTTGGATTTCATGCAAAGTATAAAACCATAAAAAGTTGACATATTTGTGACAATCTTCACAATTATTTCATATGAATACACAATCTTCTATATGCCTTTAGTTATTTCTCCCAATCTCATATAAGAAATACCAATAAATTAGAGTTATAAATATATTTTCTTCACAAATTTTATAAATTTCACTCATATTAATCTACTTTATGATAATTTAGGATTCTTGGTTTTCATTTTCTTTAAGTCTTGGATTTTAGCAAAATTAAAATGTAGATTCTATATATGCAAATCTAAGTCATTGGCAAACAATAATTAATTTCCATTAATTTTATTAATGATTGTTATAATATATAGATTCAAAAATCTATAGCTAGACTTAACACAAGGAGTCACTACTAATATTTTTTTTAATTAAGTGTCATTGGTCACTTAATGAATTTATCTTTTTAAGGAACTTCTAAGTTTGACTAAGGATCTTTATAAGAATAAGTTCTGGTTTACCAATCAGAATAAAATTCAGGAGTTTGGTTACATATGAAAAAAGTTATAACATCCCCACATATCCATCCAAAGGATGGTACTATTTTATTTTAAATTATTTTAAGGTCTTGATTCTAATAGTTTTAAAATTTAATATTTAAATATTGAAAATAATTCTTAATATTTTCTATCAATCTGGTGAAATTCTCATAAATATTTTTTCATCTCAAGAAAATTTAAGAATCTTATTTGTTTTCTTGAAGATGCTCTATCGTAATAGTTTTATTTTGTCGTAATAGTTTTGGGATCATCAGACGTAAAGACTTTTAAAAATAGAGAAAAAATAAGGGAGTCATCACCAATCTTTTTTTTAGGGTGTGATTAATCATCCAAAAGTTTATCTTTTTAATAAAACTATAAAATGGGTTTAAAGTTTATCAAAAAGATAAATTTCAGTCTACAAAAAATCAGGTTAAGCTCAGAAGTTGGTTATGAGTGTAGAAGGATTAGCACCCCTACAACGCCCATAAATTGGTACCATTTAATCATGCACTATTTTCGGTATTGGATGAAATGGTTTTGATTTGAAATTTAATAATAATCCCCTTTATTTAAAAACAATTTTTGTTAAAACTCTTTATTTAAGAATATTGAGAAAATCTTTAAGTTAAAAAATTATCTTAAAATCCTCCAACATTTAGGCAAAACTTTAATGATAACTCTTTGACTGATATTTACCATGACATCCTTTAAAAATGAAAACAACATTCTTTGAGAAAGATAATTGCTGATAACTCTCCAATACCTAGGTAGAGTACCAATAATTGTTCCTCTTGGAATGTTATTTTTATTTTATAAGTTCACATTTTTAAAATAAATAATTTTAAAAAATATTTTTTGCAAAAAAGTAAACAATGGTATTATCAAATAGCAAGTAAAAATTAAAAAAAATGAAATGAGTGCAAACAATAACAAATGCATGCAAGCCACAAGATGCTGCGTATGATGATGGAATGTAAATTTGAAATTGGATTCTTAAATATAATGAGACCACCTTGACTCCCCAATATCTAGGCGGAGCTTAGGTGCGACTATTCATATTCAAGATTTCATTTTATTATACTTTCAGTTTCATTATTAAAGCGAGTTAAGGACTCATGTGAAAAATTTAATGAAATAAAGTTTCCTAAATACCCCATTGTCTAAGTGACATTCGAGAATAAATTATTTTGAATAAAATTTTCACATGTATCCTTAAGATTTTGGAATGGTCTTGGTTAAAAGTTTGGGTCGAGGTTTTGAAGTTTAAATGATTTTTTTTTAGTGATTTGGGGTTACGCCAAATTTGGGGTTTTTAGAATTTAGGATTTTTAGGTTTTGAAATTTAAGGTTTGGGAATTTTTATTTTAGGATTTGAATTTTTGGGTTTAGAGGGTTTAGGGTTTAATTTTAGGGTTTAAACAAAGTACAAATATATCTAAAAATCTCTAACATCTAGGCAGATTTTCAGAGCAAGTTTAATTTTCATAATTTTTAAAAATTAATTAAAATTTTTTCACATTTCTTTTTTTTTTTATGAACATTTATTATTATTAATATTATTATTAATTTTATTATTGTTTTTTATTTATTATCCTTATATATATATATATATTTCTTTATATATATTTTTTATAATTCTCTAACATTTAGGTGAAATTATTTTTAAAAAAATGTCTCAGTTCCCTCCAAACTATTATCAATCATTTTTTATTTTATTTTATTATTTTATTATTTTAAATATTTTTATCATTTATTATTATCATTCTCTTTTATTTATTTATTTAATATTATAAAACAATAACAAAATCTATTCTAGCAAATTTACACATTTTAATATACATAAATATTAATAATAAAATTTAAATAACAAAAATAATATATAAAAAATTTTAAAAAAGATTCAACAAAAATACTTGAACCGGATCGGTCAATGATCTAGTCAATGTCGATCTGATTGGTTCAATAGTTTAGCAGTTCAAACCGACTTTTTGGTGGTTCAATATCGGTTCAATTGGATCGATATTAAGCTGAGGCAGAAATGGGTTACGAGTTGGGTGCGCGGACTTCAAGTAGGATCCGGGTGCACGTACGGATCCCCTTGGTCCAAAAAGACGTCATTTTGGACTTTGCTCTTCTATATAAAACCCATTTTTTTAGCTCATTTTATCCCTTCTGTTTGAAAAAAAACTTTGTTGTTTTTTTCTCTCTCACCAAAAAATCCCCGAAGATCGATCGACAATTAGCAGTCGATTTTTGGCGATCATGCTGACTATTGTGTTTCATTGTTGACCATCGATGAACGGCATCGAAAAACCTTTAAAACACCTCGAAGCTTTTTTTCTTCGTCTTTTTTCTAGATCCGATGTTTCTTTTACTGAAACAGCCACAATCGACGTAGATCGAGGCTCAAAGTTTCGATCTTCTTTTTTTTCTTTTTTTAAAATTGAAACCCTTTTTTTTTCAAGTAACTTAACGCTAACTTATCTAACGAGGATTATGATTTTTTGTTTGCAGGTTATTATTGTTTGTTTTTTATTTATTTTTGGGCTTCTGTGGACTATGATGGAGGTCTTGTGGTGATAGAGAGGTGAGACTAGATTGGAAGGCTTTGGGCGTAGGGTTAAGACAGCACTAGGGTGCTAGTGTTAGGGTGATAGTGGGCAAGGTGAGGGCACCTGGAACTGATGGGCTTATGATTCAGTACTATGTGGTATTGTGGTGGTTTCGGGTGCAGGTCTGTGGGTGTTTAGTTTGTGAAATGAAGGTACAAGATAAATGCTAAGGTTCTCCAACTGAAGGCTCTCTCAAAAGGGTTAGTGCTTTATAATGAGGTTCTGAGTACACAAGGAGGTGGATTTTAACAGGGCATGGTGGAAGGGAGTGGCTATGGGTTTATGGAGAGGGAATTGACAGGGTATGGGTGACCAGAGGGGTGGGTGGCGACCTCATTGGCACCTCAGTCTTTGGTTTTTTCTCTGTTTTTATTTTTTTATTAATTATTATATTTTTATAATAATATTAAAAATATTAATAAAACAAAACTTGAAAACAAAAATTAATCTGTAGACTCAGACAAAATTTGATTTCTACAACTATCCCTCTTTGCACATTACTGAGAATAAGTAATAGAATAAAGATAAAGATATCAATTTTATCTGGAATAACGATTCAAATTTTTTCAAAAGTTTTTTTTTGTTTTTTTTTATTGAATCACGAGTCAAGTGATAAAGAAAAAGGTCAGGACAACATCGCGAATCGAAAAATAAAGAATGACCGCGACAACACTACAAGTTAAAAAAAAACGATCAGGACAACATCGCAAATCAAGAAATAAAAAAATGACTAGGATAACATTGCGAGTTGAGAATAATAAAGAAAATGACTAGGACAACATCGTAAGTCAAGAAATAAAAAATGACTGAGATAACACTGTGAGTCGAGAAGTAAAGAATCGACCAAGACAACACCGCGAGTCAAAAAATAAGAAAATGATCGGGACAATACTGCGAGTCGAGAAGTAAGAAAACAACTAGGACAACACCATGAGTTGAGAAGTAAAGAATCGACTAGGACAATACCGCGAGTCAAAAAGTAAGAAAACAACTAAGACGACACAGTGAGTGGATAAGTAAGAAAACGATCAAGACAACATCATGAGTCAAGAAGTAAAGAATTGACTGGGACAACATTGTGAGTCTAAAAGTAAGAAAATGACTGAGACAACACAGCGAGTCGAGAAGTAAAAAATCGATCGGAACAATACCGTGAGTCGAAAAGTAAGAAAACGATTGGGATAACATTGCGAGTCTAGAAGTAAGAAAATGAATGGGACAACTTCGTAAATCGAGAAGTAAAAAATTGACTAAGATAACACGACGAGTTAAAAAGTAAAAAAGTGACTGAGACAACACCTTGAGTTGAGAAGTAAAAAATTAACTGGGATAACACTGTGAATTAAAAAAAAAGAAAATGACTAGGACAACATCGTGAGTCGTGAGTCAAAAAGTAAAGAATCGATCGAGATAACACCACAAGTCGAAAAGTAAAAAAATGACCAGAACAATACCGCGAGTTGAGAAGTAAAGAATCGACTAGGACAACATCATGAGTCAAAAAGTAAGAAAATGACCGGGATAGCACCGCGAGTAAAGAAGTAAAAAATGACCAAGCCAACATCGTGAGTCGAGAAGTTAAAAATCGATCGAGACAATACCACAAGTCAAAAAGTAAGAAAACAACTGAGATAACACTGCAAGTCGAGAAGTAAAAAATCGATTAGGACAACACAGCAAGTCAAAAAGTAAAAAAATAATCGAGACAATATCACGAGTCGAAAAGTAAAGAATTAATCAACATAACACTGTAAGTCAAAAAGTTAAGAAGCAACTGGAACAACACCGCAAGTCGAATAATAAAGAAAATGATTGGGACAACACCGCAAGTCGAGAAATAAAGAATCGATCGTGATAACATCGCAAGTCG